AGGGAAAAAGGAAACCTTCTCAGTTGTTGGTGGGACTGTATACTGGTGCAACCACTGTGGAAATCTCTGGAGATTCCTCAGTAAACTAGGATTAGAGGTCCCATTCAACCCAGTTATTTCCCTTTTGAGTATTTCTCCAGAAGTACTAAAAACATCAGACCAAAGCAATACTTTTACACCCATGTTTACAGCAGCACAGTTTGTAATAGCTAAATCATAGAAACAGCCCAAATTTCCATCAGCTGAGGAACAGATAAAAATGTAGTGTTTTATATAATGGAATATTTCTCAGGTATAATGAAAGATAAACTTGAGGTTTTAACAGGTAAATGGATTCATCTAGAGACCATACTTACAAATGAAATAAATCAGACTCACATGTGTAAACATTATAGTCTCTCTAGTGTAAGAACCTGATAGAGTACGTAAAATCTAAAAAGTATTATGAAAGGAAAAGAAACTACTCAAAAGGAAAGAACTGAGATGTGAGAAAATAGAAAAGAAAGAAAGAAGGGCAATATATATATATATACACACACACACACACACACACACACACAAAATATAGCTAAGATAATTTTACTACTAATTTCTATTGCTTTATGGAAAGGCACAGTTAATGTTTAATTGTTTGTTCAAACTTACATGCCTAGATTTAATTTCCTATCACCTTGTCTGAAATTCTGTATTGCTTTTGTTTTTTTATGTTGTCTTTTTATGCCTGTGTATTTGTCAATATGTTTTTGTTCTTTTATCTTCAAAACAAAAAATCAATAAATACAAAAATAAAGAATGGTTTGAAAGCTAAAAATGTGGAAATTGAAAGAATCTTGCTCAGTTTAATACAAGAAAATTACAAAAATATTTAGAATTAATGATAAAAAACTTAATACATAACTCCAAAGATCATCCAAAAGTTTCTCTCATTCTCACTTAGTCATTAAAGATACATATACACATACACAAATCTAAATTTCACTGCACACCTTTATATGTGCCAAAGTGTTCTTGCATCTACCATGCATACATGAATAAAATAAACTGTATACTTGGTCAAATAGTAAAAGAATTGACAAACTTTTACTGTAACAGTTTAGACATTAAACATTTGGACTTTATGAGACACATATACTCTCTGTTGCATAATTTTCCTTATGTTTTTAACATCCCTTTAAAATATAAAAGTCCTCTTTTATAAGGCCATAAATAGACTACCATCCTGATTTAATTTATGAGAGCCATAATTTGTCAACTTCTGTTAGACATTGTAAATTTTAGTGGGAGACACAGAAAGTAGACAACACATAACTATTAAACCAAAATAAAAGCATCACCCTATGTGACAAGGAAATCATCCCCAACATTTATTTGTCATACTAGAGTATTAGTTCCTCTAACCTCTCTTTAGGCAGTTATTGATCTATTTTCTCTCACTTTAGATTGGTTTGAGTTCTGTGGAATTTTATATAAGTAGAATAATATAGTACATTCTTTTTTGTCTATCTTTTTAGGTTATACAGTTATTTTGGCATATATATATATATATTTATCACTGAGTTGAATTCTATTATGTATTAGCTTTATGTTTCTGCTATAATAAATTTTTATAAACTTAGCAGTTTAAAACTATAACTTTATTTTTTTATTTTAAAAAGAGTAAAAACCTAACAAAACAACAACAATGAAGAGAAAAACAGAAACAACACAGAAACAACAAAAATGACACATGACCTCAAAACAAAGTGACAGGAATTAACAATGGTTGCTACACTATATACTGTTACCTTCAACAAAGTTTCTCAGTCCACCAGATGTAAGATTAAACAATCAAAAATAATAACAAGTAATTAAAAAACTGGAAATAATACAGACCTTCACCATACAAGACAGTCGGAGTTCAACAATGGGTCCTTTATTGCATATTGTTTTCTTCAAATCAGTTGTTCTAATTACCAGATTCAAGCATGCAAAATTAGTCAAGAAAAAAGAAAATTTTAAGCATTAACTGTTCCTTTCAATAAACCACAGATATCAGCAATACACTTACCCCAGCTATCCTTGTTTATTCATTTTTATTTTCAATTTTAAAGAGAAAAGAAAAAATCAAAATAATAAAAACAAATACATAAATAAAACAGCACAAAAAATAAAAAAGATACAGAATTTCAAAACAAAGTGATAGGATATTAACAATGATTGTTATATTACAGAATATTATCTTCAAAGTGGTTGCTCAGATTACCAGATGTAGGCATGGAAGACTGATCAAACAAGTCCAATATAGGCCCTACTGGAAAAAATCAAGTTATACACAGAACTGTGTTATTCGTTGGACACTTTAGGGGAGAATCTGTTTCCTTGCCTTTTCCAGATAAATTTTGACTGAACATCCAAATTTAGAGGTTCAATTGTCCTTCTCTCTTAAAAAAAGTTAGGTTAGCAAAATAAAGTTGTTTCATGCTTCCAATATTCTTCTGATGAAAGTATTTTTATAAAGTAGCATAGTAAGTCTATACTGAAAGAACTCTTCATGTTTTACTCAACCTAAAAATGCATAGGTGGAGAGAAGTAACATCAAGGAAAACACCTCAGCACTCAGGTTGCCAGAGCTCAAGTGCTAGCCTTGCCACTACCAGCTGTGTGATTTCTGTCAGATTATTTCATTTGTTTCTGCTTCAATCTCTTCTGTTATAGAGATTAATTACACTTACTTTATACTAACAGGGTTAAATGAATAAATATACATAAAACCTTTAGAACAGGGCTTATACTAGTCCCTAATGCATATTTAGTGGCATATGAATGTCATCAATGTAGTAAAACTAGGTTTACAGAAGTAAAACTTCCTGGGCTAACTAAATTGTATAATGTTAATAACAGTCATTGAATTCTTAATATTTTGTTTGATTTACATCTGCAGTACATTGTTTGGTTTTGTATAGCTTTTTCTTAATTTTTTTCTTAATTTTTATACCATTTGATAGAGAAATTTTGTACTAATTTGCCAGTACTATTGTCATGAGTAACACTGAAAGGAACCCAAGTACTCTAAATCTAAGCCCCAAGATTCTCAGATTTCTCCATACAAGGAATAGGGAAAAATATGTGTGATTGTAAGCAAAGCATCACAGTTTCTATACTGGCCACAGTCTATACCATAGCAAGTGGCAGAGCATTCAAGAGTTACACTCTCAGTCAACCAGAAATCAAGAAGTAAAACACAACTAAAGCCTAAATAGGAAATTCACTATGCCACGTTTTAAATGAGTGACCCTGCACGGTAGCCTTAACCTTTTTAACCTTATTTTTTTCTCATATAAAATCAGCAGTATAAATATCTCACAGAAATTTTCTTTTGGTTAATATTTTATTTATTTATTTATTTTTATTAGTATATATTCAAAGTACATAATGTTCACATTCCTTGTGTAGAATTGCTACATGGGCATAACACAGCTGAATTCTTTTCTCTATCCCTTTACCCTTCCCCCACCTGTGGATCCCCTTCCCATTTAAGGTCTATATCTGTAGAACTTCCTATTAAAACTTAAAAGAGATATGACAATCTAACATTTATTTTTGTGCAGTTCTAATTAGCTTGAAATTAGCATTGGTATGATGATTATGTAAAATTTACATAAAAATTAGAGCAATGTGGAATTATAATACTCTTGTAATGCTGTGAAAGATTTGAATATATAAATATACTTAAGTTTTCGTGAATATTTGCTTTCATTTCTATTTATGTCTTGAATAACTTGAAATTATTTGGCTGAGAAATTACCCTTTTTATTTCAGTGAAAGGAATTTCAATTTCTTTTTAAGAACTTCCAAAGAATGAATTCTGGAATATAGTCAACTTTACAGTAGATTATGAATTTAAAATATAGTAGAAACGTATAGAAAAACTATAAATGGAATAAAAGAGGGAAGACCTAAAACAACCTTGTAGTATGGAATCCTAAAAGCTCTTGGTCTTGTAAATTATCATGGAGGGGTAGGTTCAACTATTCCTAAGTTCTTCAGATTTTTTCTATCAGTTTTTGGGCCTACATTAGGCAAATAAAAATATATCAGTTATATAAAATATGCATAGAAAAATAAAAGACGTTTTCACATATTGATAGGAAAATAAACCCTAATGTAGAAGATGACAACATGAATATCTAGCACAAGAGAGTATGTTCTATATTAAGATTCACTCAGCATAAAGGGAAGTGGGACAGAATTATAATTTATAATAATTATTATAATTTATTATAATTTATCTCTGAAATTCCCAAAGCTATTTCATTGTTACTATGCAAAAATTAACAAAACCCAATATAAAACTGTGATGAATAAATGTGTTCAGTATCTGTTTTTTTATACTGGGAATCGAACCCATCACCTGTCACTTGCCAGGCAGCAGACAGGCACTGTGGCACAGGGCATGAACAATATTAAGTAGCCACATGGAGGAGGAGTCCTAAAAGTGTTGAATAAAATGTTTTCTGCTACATATCTATGCACATTTGCAATTTACCTAGTCAGCTGCACTAATCATAGAAGTATCTTTGTGTACCATCAGCTGCAAGTTATAGTGTAAAATGCAATGTTAACATGCCATATCAAATATTATATAACATCATATGTTTACATAGAGTTACCATCTCTTTAGTATAAAGAAGTGTATCCAATATTACCCTAGAGTTAAAATCTGCACAGCACTACTTTGAGAGAGAAAGGTGATATTTTTTAAAAGTTTTAAAATAAAGAGTAAAACTTCAGACATATGAAATGAAATATGAAAATATACAGAAGAGAAAAAGATAATGAAATGGCAAAGGTTCATTTTATGACTATTTTATTATCACTTCAAGTTAATCACCTTTCACATGCCTTAAAATGATTTCCTTTAATATTACAATAACTGCATTAGAAAATTTAAAGGTGAAAAACTGAAGAAGGAGGAAAGTTCTTAAATTTATTATGATTCTGGGAGAAGAACATTCCCCATGAGTGCAGAAACCTGGCCAGCCTTTAGATAACGACTCTTCAATTTCGACATAGCTGCCTTCACTTCTTTGTTCCTCAGAGTGTAGATAACGGGGTTTAAAATGGGAGTAAAGACGGTATAGAACACAGCAAGAACTTTGTCCACTGAATAACTGCTGAAGGGCCACACATAAATAAAAATGCATGGTCCAAAGAAGAGTGTGACCACAGTGATGTGAGCAGTCAGGGTGGAGCGGGCCTTCGCCATGCTCGCAGAGGAGCGTTTCCTGACTGTAACAAGTATCACAGTGTAGGAGACAACCAGGAGGAGAAAGGAACTCAGGGAAAGAAAGCCACTGTCTGCTACTATTAGTAAGCTGATAACATAAGTGTCTGTACAGGCAAGCTTGGTCACTAAAGGGAGATCACAGAAAAAGCTGTCAACCTGATTAGGACCACAGAAAGGTAAGTTGACAGTAAAGGCCAACTGGCTAGTAGTATGAATGAAGCCCACACACCAAGAGATAATGACGAGAATAATGCACACACGGCGGCTCATGATTGTCATGTAGTGGAGAGGCTTGCATATAGCCACATAGCGATCATAGGCCATAGACACAAGCATAACCATTTCACCACCTGCAAAAAGATGAACACAGAAAATCTGGGCTAAGCAACCTTTGAAAGAGATAGTCTTATGCTCAACCAGAAAGTCTGCAATCATTTTGGGGGTAGCGAAAGAGGCAACACACACATCTATGAAAGACAGGTTTGCAAGCAGAAAGTACATGGGGGTATGAAGGCGGGCGTCGGAGTTCACCGTGAGGATGATGAGAAAGTTCCCCAGGAGTATTGCTAGGTAGAGTAGTGAAAATATGAGAAACAAGAAAGGTTGGAGCTCCTTGGAACCAGAGAGTCCCAGCAACACAAATTCCATCACCTGAGAACGATTTGTCTCATTCATTGACTTTGGAAGAGATTTGTCTCCAGTTACCTGAGTAGGACAGAAGCAGAAAACAGTGAATGACCTGAGCATTGGATCAGTACCCTACTTTGTCCCAGTCTTTAAGGATTCTATTATTACTCCAATAGATATGCTGTATTTGTAGCCTGTTTCATACAGGTATCACAGCAGCAATCAAAAATAAGATGGGACAGGTGGCTGGGGATTTAGCTCAGTGGCACAGTGCCTGCCTGGCAAGCACAAGGTCATGAGTTCGATTCCTGGTACTGGAAGAAAAACAAAAAACAAAAACAAAACAAAATAAGATGGGACAAAGTGAGATGCTCAGTTCACTTCTATAAAAGGAGAGTGTTAGTTGTGCAGTTGGTAGAGAGAATTAAAGCTAATTCATTCACTTAGTTACATAAATTTGAGAAATTAAATGAACTAATTCAAAAAAGTGATACCTAAAAGATTGTCTGATATCACACAAATCCAAAGTGACAGTCTGTAAACACAAAAATCTGTCATTGTTTTCTCCCCAGAGTCAAATTAGAACTCAAGAAAAAAAGATAAACTGCTACCAGAGGGAAACAGACTTTGACAAAATTAATATTGTGCAAGGACTATCAAAAAAATGTATGAGGCATGTCACTTCAGTGAAAGGAATTCAAAGATATATAAGACAAATCAGCTGGAATTGGAAGTCAGAGTGATGTTTAGCATTGAAGAAACAGAGAGAGGGAGAATTTTGGAAGGAACTTTTGAAGTGCTGATTTGTGCTTTTTGAGTTTCTTGATGTGGTTGACAGTTATTGCTTTTTAGTTATTTATGAAAAGAATAACAGTACCTTTTATTTCATAGATTCTGGAAAACTCCTCCTGCTGAAATGAATGAAGGTCTTTTTGTCACTGCTATTCAGACCATTTCATGCATTTACTCCTCCTCAGAAACTTCCTTGCACAGCTCATTACTAATGAAATTATTATCCACATACCAAATAACTGAGATTTGATAAGTACATGTAAATATCTTATTTCCATTCTTGAAGTTTCTCCCTTATGCTAATGTTCTATAGCAAGAGAAAAGGATATTTCTCATCTTTACTTGAAGGAAAACTGCAACATAGAATACAAAAACACACCTAATCTCTTTGGTCATTGACCAGCAATGGGTGACTCTTAAATCAAGGCAAGTATATAAAATGAGGACACTGGGCTAGCAGAACTCTAAGAGTTTTGCAATCTAAATGAACTTATTTTGCGTTAATTCACTCTGTGAGAATTGAAGTGTCTCCACAAGGAACTCTGTGCAGAGATCTAGTGTTAGAGCAACCAGAGTTAGGTTTAATCCTTTAATCCAAGAAGACCATCCAAAAATGTAACCTGTGTCCTATGCTTTGCATAATGAGCCCCTTTCCCCTTCACGCACTGCCTTGTTCCTTTCTCAAGAAATAACTTAATTAATAGCTTTATTACTTAACGAAAGGATGACTGCTCTTCTATACCCAGTATAGTCATCATGCCACAATGGAAAAAGAGATTTATTGAGAAAAATTATTTGAGGCTAAATCGAATTTCTGTGTTCAGGCAACTGTGTAACATTCAGCAGCTCTTACATCTTTCAAATCACACTGTGAGCAAGTATAAAACATTAAGAATAATATTACCCTTAAATAGAGAACTGGAAATGCCTGTAAATTATAGAAGTGAAAATTTTTTATCTGGGGTAATTAAAAACATATGGAAACATTTTCATAATGCATCATTTCACCTCAGAATAAATATTTTACTTTTGCACATAGTTGTACATGCTCTTCTAACTTACAGGAAAATGGGTTTCTCATTATTGGAGAAAATCCAATATGTTTAGTACTTCCTTTCTGGTTCTGTTTAGGACGAGTTAACAGAAGCCTATAGAATTTTGCTACATGAATTATAGGTTTCACTTGCAGGTAAGTCTTAAAAACTGACCGCTCCCTAAATGTCTTTATTTCTAAAACTGTACACCTGATGCCTGGTGGGAAAAGTAGGTCTGAGTATAACTGCAAGTGACAGAAACCCAGTATTTTAAAGTTAGGCCCTGCAGAAAACTCCCTTCATCTATGTTTCCATCCTACATGCACCTATTTCCCACAGCCACTATGGACAAAGACAAGTGCTGGCATAAACTAACAAAATACTTTCACCTACGTACGATAAGAAGGACAGTGTCCACAAATCCTTTATTCTTTGGTCTTTGAGCCTCTAAGTAGAGTCTAATTTTCAGGTATAGTTGACAGGGACAAAAGCATTAGTATGATCCTGAGGACATGAGCCATAAAACTGATTTTTTCTTTGTTTGTTTGTTTGGTGTTTTTTCCAGTACCGGGAATCAAACTCACGACCTTGCACTTGCTAGGCAGGTGCTGTGCACTGAGCTAACGCCCCAGCCCCAAAACTGATTTATTTTTAAAGGAAGAAAGAGGCACAAAGTCTTGAGTTTGAGGCAAAGAGGGGCTGTCGTCCAGGAGATCGGAAAGGGCTGCAGTCAGTGACCCAGTGGAAACGCTTCATGTTTGTGGAGCACCAGAATTCTCAGAAGTCTGAAAGGAAGAAAAGCGAGGAGAAGCAATGAAGTGCTGAAAACAAATTTTCAAATGTCAGATAAAGCTCAGTCAAACTGTCCGACATTGCTTCTATTTTTGCAGTAGTAGAAGATGAAATATGTTAGTGATCACATTAGTTAAAAAGGCCTCTAAGGAATTAAAACATATCATACCTCACTAAAACCCCACACAGAGGATAGAATCCCACTCACCATCCATCAAGTATCCTAGGAGGGTAGAACCTCCCAATTTAACCTCCAGAAATATGGACAGAATTCTTCAAATTGATCACAAGATTTTATTACAAATTTCAGCTGGGACTTTTCAACAATGAATTTTTTTCTGATCAAAGTTTTAGTAGAAAAAAATATATATATATATGAGTCACAATCATTAATAGTGACACATAATTTAAATTCTGTAAGATCCCTGGAAATTTAATTATTTTGTCAGGATAATGCTTATAAAAGATTTAGGCTTTTAAATTCCTTTATCTTACTTTCCCTAAATTTTAAAATTCAGATGGCCTTTTCTTCTTGGAGACATACCATATATAATCATGGTATAAGTAAGCCAGTCATGTTTTCCTATAACAGTTTAATAGATTTAATCACATTTGTTCCATGTTTCTCAAAGGTGAGTATTAAAAAGATACACTTTCTCACAACTTTGTGTACAAAAGGTTCTTGGTTTTCATTAATTATTTTTATTATGATGAAACACATGTGATATTAAATTTATTATACTGAGAATTTTAAGTGTACAATTTAGTAGTAAGCATATTCATATTATAGAAATGTACATTTTCCAAAAGTGAACCTTTTTAATCAGTGAATATAGATGAGTATAAATTAATGAATTGCTTCTCTTTTTAATTACAATTACTTCACTGGAAATTAAAATGTATTGCTTAAAATATTATGTAAAAATTATTAAAATCCCTCTTATAAAATTAATAAAATGTAAACTAGTAATTCAATTAATACTAAAGTTAATAATTTTGTAATAATACTGTCCTGCCTGTGTAGACAGAACTATCTAAATTACATATAAGTTTTGAAACACTCTGAAGTGCAAATCAAAGAACGATGTCCAATGGCATCATTTTTTTTTTTTTTTTTT